CGCCACGACTGTGCAGGTGATGATTTTATTTTGAAGGGTACTAAAACATCTCCAAATTCATCACTTCGAAGAGAAGAAAAAAAAAATCCCTAGCCTTTATAATACTACTTTTGCGGTGTAGGCAGGAGGTCTTTCAGCCTGATGATTTACGGAGGATCTGAGCCCGGTGCAGGTGATTGATTTTATTTTCTCCTGCTTGGAAGCTCAGCGTTTCTAACCGTTTGGCCAGCCGCTTCGGCATTTCACACAAGCGAATTCTGACCACAACCTCAACACACTGCATGAATTTGTGGTATGGTTTTTTCTTTACGTTCAATTTCTTAGCTGGTCTATATTTTGAAAGGATGTCAGGCATACAGTCGTGAAAAACCTGTCACAGGAGTCATGCAGTTTTGAAACTTCCTACTCCACTCATAAACTTGCTGTACTGACCAAGCATGGGTACTTGAAAGCAAAGCCTAAGGGGGATGTTACCTAGTGGAAGGGGAGAGACAAAAATGTAGGCTAAGATAAATCTTAAATCTGCTCCTTGAACCTATCTCTACTCTAAGCCTATAAAAATAAATACTTATAAAAAGATGGTCGTGAGTGGAAGCCGAAGACCACACCCAAGCTGTCCTAGTGACAAAAAATAAGTTCATTAGGCGAAGAAAAGACCTATGGTGTCCTGGCCCTGGCAAGAAATGTTCTGTATGAAGTCTAATTAACAGTAAACGAGACTTACCAATCACAAGTCCTATTCCAAATCAAAACAAATGGAACCATAATCATAACATTAAACGTCTTCTTAATTTCCTGAAGACAAAACCAGCGCTCTTCACTGATAACAGTTCATTACCAATCATCATGGTGTTCACACAGACCATGTGCTAAGCACTTCAGTTAACAAAGATAACAGTTCGCTTCCATTGATCTGAAATCAAATATCTCGGAGCGATTATGCACATTATTATCTAGATGTAACACACTCTGACTACTGGAGGAAATTTAAATCGAACACCGTCTAACTATTGAGAACGTAGCACCACCATGAAATCAGCGAGCCAATCCATCCATATCTGCCCAGTCTCTTAAACCCACATAAAGCTAAAACCCCTGAACGGTTACGACATACCGATATGTAGAGCAATCTGTCCCAAGAGCGATTGGCGAGATCATATTGCGGAAAACTAAGAGGCCTTTTCCCATTCGTCGGTATTTTTATAGCCACAATGACCCCATTTCTGGAGAGTTCCGACCCCAGAGCTTGTCAGTTTTAATTCACAAGTGCAACCAAACCAAAATTATTTACAGGCTTCGCCACCCTGTAACTCATGCATCACCGTACTGAATCATTCCTCGATAAACTTCTTTACATTTCCCACTTTAGAACACTATTCTTCTTTAGTGCATGCCAAAAGTTAGACTGCCACATTTAAACCGTCAATTTATCTCAGTTGGATTAAGAATTTATTTCAATCTGTGTAACATCTTTACTGCACAAATTGAGCATTAATATCAAATATCGACAAGCTCTTTTTTTTTCTAGATATGTTTTCGTGATACCCAATAATGAGAGAAAGAGAGCAAGACAAGACTCTTGACAGCCTTTTGTCATGGCATGGAAGCCTGGCAACACACGAACTGATACACGCAGTTGCGAATCGCAGATTGTGGTCGTTCATGCCAGTCCGCAAGGCACTTGATGGTGATGATGATAATGGAAACAGAGGAGGGGCTTTGGCTGGCTACCGCATTAGAGGACTGGGCGATTGGTTTTTGTTTGTTTTTTAAACTGATCAACATAATGGCACACGGGTGCAACCCACAAGTGCTCCATTATACTTCTAACTCAAGTCTGATCTGAAGAATCTCCGCGCAGTGCACGAACACCAATGCAACGGCGACGATCCTGAAATACTTAGTTTAGATTTTAAACTCCAAATTTTGCCCGCTGGAAACACCGACGTACTACAGGATCTAAGCAACTGGCTCGTCACCGGCATACTGTCCTAAAGAATGTTTTTTTTTTACGTGCCCAACAATACACACAGGCGTCCGATCTTACTACCCAGAGACCAGGGAAAATTACAAGAAGTCCACGTGAAAGAATCCCAGCCTTCACCTGGGCTTGAACTACGGGACCTTCAGCACTCGAGGCCGACGCCATGCCTCGAGTCCACTCAACCCCCTGATGATGATGATGAAGCCACCATAAAGCATTGCTGTATTTAATTATTAAACGGGCTGGATTTAAGAAAGCGAGGAATTATGAGGAATGCCCGGGCAACTGCTGGTATGAGCAATCATAAGACAAAGAAATGGAGTTACATGCATTACATCCTGAAGAAAAGTTAACAGAGAATAGCCCAGCAGGCGCTGAAATGGGAAACACATGCGTTGTTGAAATGAGTTTTTATATTACCTTTGCTCCAAAAGACGCATTGGGGCGTTGAGAATGTATTACATTTTTCATGTAAAATAAGCTACATATTTTTTAAAGTACGCCATTATAGATCGG